GGAAAAAAAAAAAAAAAAACTACACGATCAGCTACACCAGGCAAATAGTGTGAAACATGACATGCAAATTTACTTTTCAGATTTCATTTTTTGTTTCAGAATTTTGTTATAGGTTTTAATTTTTGCTGGAGGGAAGCAAGAGACGTGTGCGTATATACCAAGTCCTAATGAGACAATAATGTGTAAACTAAACTGATCATGGTTTAACTTTAAGAAATCAATGCCCCCCGTAGTAAACCTTTCCCACAACTTAATGACCATACAGTTGAGTAGAGAGAGATTACGCTTATAAGAGCATCAGATGTGGCAGAAAACGATACAAGTGACAAAATCAATTAGAAGCATGTTTAGGAGTTGTTTATGAAAGGTTTAAATTATAAATGTATAGAAATAAGTGGTGAATAAGTATGTAGTACTTGTGGATCTCACATATATGTGAATAAAAAGTGTGTGAAACAATTATAAACAGTAGCCTAACAAGGGCTAAAGGGAAGCAATGATGAGCAATTGTATCAGAGTTTTTATATATAACGGGCAATATTTATGAATATATATGTCAAACATTTGAAAAGGAAAGTAATTGAATACAGCAGAATCTGAAAACCGGCAGACGAAAGAGAAATCACTAACCCATGGAAGATAACCTGCTGTGAAAGTGAATAGTCCCAAGAAGCTCATATGGATGTATGGGTTCTGCTTGCTCCAAACATAAACCTAACAATGAGAAAAATGAGGATCAGAAAAAAGGTATGACATTCTTCAGTTAAATTGTTAATTAAGAGCTGAGTTTTATTCTCAGGCAAACTAACCATCATGAATGTGAGTGAATTGCTAAGGAATATAATCCTTGCAAATGACTCAGAAATGTAAGGAATCATCCCCCCAATAAGAACAGTGCCAGTCAAAACAGAGGCACCAAATAAGATCATGTAGAAGAAATCTGCTGTCCTACCCCGGAAGGAGTTCTCCTCAAGAAGCTTGCAGTATCGAGCAAGGAAGAACATGTGGAACAAAAAGTCCAGGTCTGCAAAATACAAGAATACATACATCAGGATAGAAGTGAAGAATAATTTCACCAGTATCATCCTATTACATACTATACTTTTATTGTCAACCAGTAAAATTCTCATAACAGTAACTTAGATTGGAATTTCTTAAATAAATAAAGTTGTCTATATACTCTCCATGGAATGCAGGAGTAAATTCCTGAATTAGCTAGGAGATAGTATGTAAAAGTGCATGTTTAAAATTTTTTTAAGAAATTAACCCACATCAATTAAGTGGAATTACCTCACTCACGTGCATAAAGATATGAGCACAAACAGCCAAACAGCAAAAACCAATTCCATTTGTTCCCAAATTAGCCCACAATCCGCACCTAATAATATCCCTCTTTTTATTTGATACCGCAGTGGAAAGAGACCTAACGAGATCAGTAAGGAAAAAACCCTTGCTACTGAAAAAGTATTTAAGTTACCGCCGAACCAACTAAATGTTGTTCAATCTATATGGCGAAATCTAGTGAAATC